GCTGGCTGTGTGTCTTGTGAGCTTGTTTGTGTCTGTGTGTCGCTCGTGCGTGTCGTCATCATCTGTCTACTCTCCTGTACGAATGGTTGGGCAAGTAGTGAGGGACACGATCCCGGCGTGGAACACGGCTAACTGACGGATCCGCTCCTGACAGTCGCACGCACCGCACTGCGGCGCGTGCGACTGTCTTTGTTTGAAGTTAAAAGTCGAATCAGGGCGCCGTCGGCGCTGTCCCTGGATTTCCTCTCACGGACCGCCTGTCCGGCACCGCTCCGGGACGCACGCCGGCGAAGCACCATCACGCTGCTGTACGGCCCCGGCATCGCCTCCCCTGGCTTAGCTCTCAGTCAAGATATTGTGCACATGGGTAGCCTCTACAATGTACACACTGACACTGAACCTCCCAGAGCTTGTCCCGGTCCGTCACGGCCATCCTCGGCCTCCGGAGGGCCCCCGGCCGCGGCGCGGTGCGGCGGCGTCACAAATCCGACCACAGAGCACCGGGACGCGGTCGGGCGATCTGAGGCCCAACTAGGCGTATGCATTGCCCATTCAGGGCTATCACCTGGACCCATCAACAGGCGCCTGTGGCGCCGTGGTCACGAGGTGTTGTTCACACCTGCCCAACCATTCATACAGCACAGTAGCGTCCACCCATACCGCGTTGGTGTCCAGTCCGAGCCTGACTGTTCTTCACCTTCCTAGATCTACTTCATACATACGGGGTTGTGAGTGTGTGAGCGACGCAAAAATAGCTTTTCCGTCGAGGCAACCGATGCGAGTCGACTGGGGGTGTGTGTCGTCGTGGTTTCGTATCAGCGTGATCGGCGCCGGCTACGGTCGGGCGGCGGCGAGGCTCTCCTTCTTCTTCCCCGGTGGCGGCCTGCCGGCCTCGCTTGGCCGAGGCGGAGGACGCGCGGCTGGCGGCGGCGTCGGCGGCCATGGCAGAGCGTCGAGGGAAGAAAATTTAGGCGCGTTGTTTGCAGATCAAGGCACAGAGCTCACACAAATCACAGCGGAGGAAAGCGGCGAGTCGCAACTCCAGGCAGGTGTCGTTGAGGCGGGCCACCCTGTCCAGAGAGGCACAGGTGCGAATGTGGGTATTTCTACTTTGATTTTTTTTATTGGTCAAAAAATTCTTTTTGAGCGTAGCGTGACTCAATAGCAGGCTTGCAAGGCGTAGTGCCACATGGCCTTCCCGGCGCCGCCCTCGCCCTCTCTCTTTGCCAAGACCTACCGTCGCGTCAAGCGGCATCGCCCAGAGCCACCCGCCGTCCAAGCCGCTAGCGCGCCCG